TAAGAACCAATGGTAAATCAACCAAGAGCATAAGGATTTATAAAACGAAATGAAATTTTAACGTATCTTTTCAAGAAATAGTCAAGTAGTGGTAACCACTTAGAATCGAGTAGTTCAGAATGAAAAAACAAAAACAAAAACAAAGCGAAAAACAAAAAACACCTTAGAGATTAAAAAAAAAGAAAAAAAATCCAACCCTTCTCTTGTCCCAGTCCCTTTCCAACCTCATCCCCTGCTTTACTGTTAATCTGGCTGAAAGCAAACTACTAAGTTTTTCTCAGGCTCAACTCAAATATCTTTTCTCTATCTTTGCTCCAGGAAACTCACCACCTCCTCAAGCCAATTCATTCCAAACTGGTGATTGATCAGCCATTGTATAACTCGTTCAATGAATATATGCCGCCTTGTGCTAGGCACTAGGGATCAGATCTCCTCATTGGAAGATAAAAATCTCACTCTTTTACCATGGGAGGGGGGAGGGGTTCTGTCTGCCCTTAGGGATCACAGGGAACACTATGTTGCATAAATTGGTCCTGAACAAAATTAGAATATAAGATGGTCATCCCCCCACACTCCCTTCTCCATTACACTCATCCCCAACAGTGCCTCCCCCAACCACCCATCAGAGATCAGAGTCTCCTCCCCAATACCCCACCACCACAGCCCTGGATCTTTTTATCCAGAAAAGAATTTCAAATTCTTGTGCCCAGAGGTTTTAGAAACTTTCACTCATAGTCACTTCTCTGGAGACACTAATTTTCCAGAGTCCTCAAATCACTCAGAACTGAGTTCTGAATTCAAGCTGACTGGCTGCTGAATCTATACTCTTAACCAGTCCATTTTAGTGCTTCTCAGTAAACGGGAGTTTTCTTTTCCTCCTCTACCTACAATGCTCTTTCCTTTACCCTCACTTTTTCACATGAACTCCTAGTCATCCTGCAAGATCCATATGTAGAAGCACTCCTTTTCTCTAACCACCACAAGCAGAGATTCTTCAGTAACCCCAGACGACGACGTTTGTACCTGTCTTCAGCACATCTCTTTATACTGAGATAAAAACAGACTGCGCCCCCCACCCCTTTACCTACTGCAAAGGTACAGACTCCTGGCAAAGGAAGAATTTTCTTTAACTGCCCACTAGTAACAACCCAGAGTTACTAAAACTCTCTGTATGAATACCAAGACTGTTGATTTCTGTTAAAAATGAATATAAAGAATATATAAATGTAGATGTCTAGATGGGGCTGGGGTCCCACTTAGAGAGAGGTCTCTCCTGGCCTTCATCACTGGAGAAGAAGCCATCACAGGACAAGGAAGCTCCCAGGAAGCTACAGACTAGATGTCAGTGTCAACTATAATCAAGCTAAGCAAAGAATGATAAGATGGCATCCACTCAGAAAAGACAGTCCACAAGGCAGCTTGTACATGAGGAACTCAAAGTACCAAAGGTGGGTGTGTCTCCCAGAGACAGAATCCAGAAGCCAACTATATGCAAATCAAAGACACAGAAATGGCCAGGCAGTTCCCAGAACTGGGAACTGATATCACCAGAAATCTAATCTTTGAAATCAGATTGTTTTTCATACTTCTTATGTTCCCTTATATTTCCTTCCTTGGTCTCTAGTAAAGTTCCAGGCTATCCTAACTGTGCTAAGGTAAACTGAGGATGAGGGTTTTTAAACTTACTTTAAACTGAGGATGAGGCCTGAAGATTAGAATGTTATCAACCCACTACTGAGGGTTTTTAAACTTACTTTAAACTGAGGATGAGGCCTGAAGATTAGAATGTTATCAACCCACTACTGACAGCAGCAGTAGGATGAAAATGGTAATCCAAGTGAAAGAATCCCCCAAAAGACGATAAAATGTAGGGGACAATAAGGGTTGCAGAATCTGGCCACTCTTCCCTCTCCAAAAATTCTCTTTTCGATACTAAATCTTAGAGGTTGTGGTTTTGTTTTATAATCTTCTAAAACTTCCCAGCACTAAATTGTATCTTGAAAGGATCTTGTCATTTCACCAGTGTAGTCTACTCAAGTGCTCAGAACACAACAAAAACTTAAATGTTTGTTGATGGAATGCACGAAGCAATGCATGGACTTTCAAAGTTGTAGGGCACCCTGAAGACCACCCAATCCAGTCCTTCTCCCACAAGTGCACATCTGTCCACACAGGGCTTTAATAGGTTGTCATAAAAGTCATTCAATAAATATCAACTAAATACCTACAATAGCTAAGATGCTTTCAGGAACAATAACAAAAATATATCAGTCACTGATGCACAGCAAATGCTTGGGGGGCCCAGCATGCATCAGGCACTTTGCTAGGCCCTAAAGATATTACAATGAATAAAACACACATAGCACCGTGGGAAATTATGGAGAAGATGAATGGACCCTAAGTATAAATAATACTGTTTAAAATAGAAAATGTTAAGTGTTTTCTAAGGCTAGATAAAGCTATCTGGATTCAGAAATCAAAAAGGGAAACCAGCTTTCCAAAGAACTTCTGGGACACTGCCATACAGGATAGGACGTTATTTGTGATTTAACCTTGGAGTTCAGGAATGAAAACTGTTAGTTTCTAGTTGAAGCAGTTAATGAAAATGGCTTTATAGGTTTTGATGAAAATCAATATTCTATCTTCATATCTTTAACATTATGTCAAATGGCACAATGATGGATTTTGAAAGAGATCAATTCTCTTTTAATGAAAACCATAATCAAAACAGAGCTCTAAATAACAAAGTTGTTGTCACTTGTGAGTATGGAAACATAGATTTGCCAATTTGAATATTAGTAAAACACATGTAAAGAATAATTCTGGACTTATGGGTGGACCTTATTTATTTAACGGTAACTCTATAATAAAATAATTTCTATTACTTACATTTTAAACTAGAAAAGTGAGAATTAAGCTACCATATAGGTAAACGTCACATTTCTTTTGTCCTGTAATCAAATGAGATTTATCTTCCAGTTTCTTTCATATATGCTACTTCAGCTTCTCCAAACACCTTGAAATGCATCCTACTAAAGCTGTTTCCTTCAAGATAAATACACTAGAATGGAAATCAGGAGACTCAGGAGCTAGGCCTGACTTCACCACCTGCTACATGAATTTGGGCAGGTAAATTCTCTTGCCTTAATTTTGTCATCCGTGAAACGAAGCAGTTAGAGCAAATAACCTCTAAAATCCCTCTGAACTTTTAAAAAACAAAACAAACAAAAAAAAAACTCTGAAAACTAACCTCTACTCCTAAACCATGAACCAAAACAAAAAGTTTCAAAACTAATATTAAAGGAGCTTAAGTTTAACCAATGTTCTCCTTCTTTTACTTGACTTATAAAACTTATTTATCAATTTCCTACAGCAGTTAAGTTGAGCAGTTTCATCTACAGCAGTTATAGACTGAGAAAGTAAAGTCAATATATCCCTTTAGAAACAATGCCATAGGGGCACCTGGGTGGCTCAGTGCGTTAAGCCTCTCCCTTCCACTAAGGTCATGATCTGAAGGTCCTGGGATGGAGCCCCATATCAGGCTCTATGCTCAGCCTCTCTCTCTCTGCCTGCCTCTCTGCCTACTTGTGATCTCTGCCTGTCAAATAAATAAATAAAATCTTTAAAAAAAAATTAAACACTCATAAACTACTTTGAATTTCAAAAGGTTTTCAATCCACGTACTCCATTTCGGCAACATATTTCTTCTGTTCGCTATAGAGTGCTTGCCACTGACCTATGTTTACAATTTCCCCCCACTGGATCTAGGAAATGACTCGAGCACATTTTGGCCATTTGTATGGAGGATGATGTAGACAAGCATGGGTGATTAATATACGCATCCTAGTTCTACTGAAGAAACCTATCATATAAAGAAACCTATCAGGCAAATTTTTGTTAGGCCACACTGTATGCAAAGTGTGGAAATGACTATAAAGACAGTAATGAACACGTTACTACTTTACCCCTGCCTGCAACTATCCTGGTCACAGAAAAAAAAATTCTCTACCTCAGCATAATTTGAATTTACATTAAGAAAACCTAACTACTGTTTTAAGGTAAAAAGCCCCTTCTCATATACCTCCAAAGAGCTACAATTTTTATAACCCTAGCTGGTATTATTGAAACAAGTCCAGATAAACACCGTAATTACTATACTCAGGCATCATTCCTATGGAAATCTGCTTCATCGGCTTAATTTCTGCATATTAAATGAATTAAGTTAAAGTGCAAACGCTATTGTCTGAAAAACAAGGGAAATTATTAAAGGCAGAACAACGGGCTCCACTTCTGCAAATTAAGCAAAATTAAGCAAAAAGAAAGGAAGCAAGCAAAGGGAAGGAACTCGAGAGCTATTTGCAGCAGTGGTCCCTTGCAAGTTCTGGGAGCTTCCCCTCCAGCTCGAAGAAATAAGAAAAGGAATGCAAAGAAGAGAAGGCACCTCTCCTTTCAGGCAGGAGCCCAAAGTTACACTCTTTTCACAACTTGCAATATTCGTTGAATTCAGTTTAAGATGTACAGGAGATCTGGATTCCGTGGGACTGACTGGGAAAAGGGAGTGGCATTTACTTTCTGTCTGGAGCCCTAAGAACTGTACCAGAGCACTCAAAAACCCTTAGTTATCTAGCTCTCGGAGCATCCTTCCCACGCACACACCTGCAGGACTGGGCGGCCCCACCCTCTTCCCCTCCGGTCCTTAGGGCTGGACCAAGGTCCAGTGGCCCGCGCACCGTTAGTCTAAGGGCCACCCTGGCACGGCCAGCGCCACCCGCCCCGGGCAAGGCCAGAGCGCACGCCGCCGTCTGGTCTCCGCTTCTCAGAGCCACGCAGTGGCGGCGGAGCGCAGCTGGACACCAGCACCACCAGGATGCGCATTATAATAAAAACTTGGGGGAGTACGTCTACACTCGCGCCGACGTGGAGGCACAGCCCGGAACCCGGGTTCCGGGACCGCCGGCCCGTCCCGCCCCTCCTCGCGGCTGAGGGGCGGCGGTCCGTACCTGTCCTCCGAGACGCTGATGACGCCCTCCTCCTTGGGCACGATCACGGCCATATTCACCACCTCCTGGGACCCCTCGACCCGCTGCAGCAGGATGGGCTTGCGGGTCAGCGGCTTGGGCTGGATCTCCGCCGCCATCGGGAAGAGGGGGCGCGCCGGGGGCGCCGCCGACAACCGCGCCGCGGGGCCGGGCTGAGGAGACCGCTCGGGTACGGGCACAAGCGGAGACAGGGACTCTGAGTGACCGGAGCGGGACGCCGGGGACCCGCGATCATAGCCTGGCCGCCGCTCCGGGAACGACTCCGCGCTCCCGGCTTGGGGCACCGAAACCGCCAGGACCTGGGAGGCAAGCCGGCGCCAGCACCGGAGGAGGGGGCGGAGAGCTGGGGGGCGGAGCCGATGGGGGCGGGGCCTTCCCCAGGGGGTGGCCGCTGGTGGGCGCGAGGGCGGCTGCACTTCCGGAAGAGTGGTGGAGATGGAGAGGAAACCTGAAAAAGGAGGCGGGGCGCTGGAGGCCCAATGCGCGTGCGTCAGCTCACTGCCGCGTTTCCGCTCCGCCCCTTTATGATTCCCGACGCCAAGCCGGACCGTCCCTGGAACGCATGCGCCTTCTATTATCTGCGGTCTCCTAGACTCAACACCTTCCACATCCAGTGTTTTTAATCTCCCATGAACGCGCGTGTAAACACCCCTGGGAACGCGCTTGCCAGAGGCTCGCCCCCTCCAAATCCCTAAGAAGGGGCGGGGTGGGGCGGGGAAAAGGGCGCCTGGGCGAGGCCGGAAAGAGAAGAATCCTGCAGAAGGAAAGAAGCTGAACTAGTTGGGACGTGACTGGGCATGCGCACGGGTTACCTGTACTGAGCGGCCTTAACAATGATCCTGCTGCGGCGGGAGGCAGCGTGCTGCTCCCAGCATGCACCAGGCCCAGGTTCCCAGGGGCTCCTGGGAGTTGTAGTTTTTCGGAGCCTCCTCTCCCTTATCCTGGAATGACCTATCGCCCGCTTCGGAGCCCGGCAGCTTCCCTGGAAATTGGCTGAGTCGCGGCACCGACTCACCTCTAAGGAGGGAATTGAGGGGCAGCCCAGGGCTGAACAGGTAGGCTGTCACTGCACCCTGGTTCAGACTGCTGCCTATAATAGTGGAGCACTAGAGATGGAGAAAGAAGAGAATCTCTCATTCGAGTGTCTTCGAGGGAGTTTCCAAATCATCTGTAGTGTAATCTTTCTGGTTTTCTTAAATGACTCCGTTACTAGCCCAAGGGTACTTTAGCTCCCAGTTAGGGCTATGCGCCACCCCCCACCCACCACCGCACAACTTGAACACAGGCTCCCCTTGCTCCTGGTCCTGTCTTCTTTCCATTCCCCAGTAATCCAGCCTTTCTGGCTTGCTCCAGAGACAATGGAGAGAGTTACTGTGATTATTGAATAAATGTTAGGTGCCTGGCACAGGGCCTGGCAAGCGGGGTTGTTCGTTATGTGATGACCCAACTAAGCCCTCCCAGAGCTAACAAACTAGCTGAAGAGTGGCCATGCGGTGTGATTGGGCTGGCAAGGGCTTTGGAGGTCAGAAAAATAATATACCAGAGCTGGGCAAAGACATGACAGGCCTCACAGAAATGCATTTCTAGGGCAGGTTTTTGGCAGCCAAGGCAGTGTGGTGGTGCTAAGGATCTGTCTTGAAGCACACAGTGCAACTCTTTACCACCTCCTGTCTCTGCAGAAATTCTGTAAAGCACTTGAAAGTAAGATAGGTATTTTCCAGTTCTGGGACCTAGAACAAGGCATTCCACTTCTCTGAGCCTCAGGTTCCCCATCTATTAAGTGGAAAATAATAATACCTACCTTGAGTGTTGTGTGAGACCCACAAAAGACATATTTTAAGTGCCTTCACCCACAAAAGGTCCTTTAGGGCTCCAGGGATTAGGACATGGACATATCTGGGGGGTCATTATTCATCCTACCACAATGGTGTGAAATACTATTCTTATGCTCCTGACTCTGTTTATCTCTACCCCAGCCTCACTGCTGAACCTCAAACTCACATATGTAATGCTACTTCACTTTGTCACTTGACTGTTTAATAGGTGTTCCAAACATTCCCAAACAGCATCTTTAAATCTACTGCATCATTCACTCAATGGTTCAAAACTAAGTTCCTAAGAGTCATCCTTGCTTCTCTTTTCCTCACAACTCCTATCCAAACCATTAAGTCCTATCAGCTCTAACTCCAAAGTAGATCTTGAATTTTCCCACTCATATCACCTCTACCCCAGTCCAGGTCACCATATGCTCTGGTCTCTACTACCACAGTAACCTAACTGCTTTCCCTGCTTCTCCTCTTGAACCCTTCCCTCATTCAGCCCAACGCCAACCTATTCAATCCATCCTTTTTTAATGTTTTATTTATTTATTTATTTGACAGACACAGATCACAAGTAGTCAGAGAGGCAGGCAGAGTGAGAGAGGGGAAGCAGGCTCCCTGCTGAGCAGAGAGATGCAGGGCTCGATCCCAGGACCCTGGGATCATGACCTGAGCTGAAGGCAGAGGCTTAACCCACTGAGCCACCCAGGTGCCCCTATTCAATCCATTTTTATCACAATGGTCAGAGGATTTTGTTTTAAAATATAAGCCAGATCATGTTACTCCTCCGCTTAAAATTTGAGTGGCTTACCATTGCACTTGAGATAAAATGCTTCTCCAGCCTCACCTCTCCTCTCCTATTCTGTACTCTTTAGACCCTGACCTAAAAATCTCAGAAACACTAACCTAATTCCTGCTGGTGGCCTTTTCAGGGTTTACCATTAGATATTTTCTTCTCACCATTCAGTCTTCACCCCACTGTTAGCTCCTTAGAAATGTTACCCTCCTACCTCTCATGTACCCTACCTCTTCATAACACTTGCTGTCATATAACCCTGTCTTGTTTTCCAGTCCTCACTTTCTGCCCCAAATAATCTTTGTTTCTTGTTTACTTCTTAGTTCTCCCTCTAGTAGAAGAGAAGCATTGGGAGAGAAAGGACCTTATCTGCTTATTCATTGTTGTATTTCCAGCCCCTCAAAGAAGTAGCTGGCACATTAGGAGGCATGCTATAAGTATTTGTCAAATGAATGAATAGAAAGAGAGGCAGGTCTAAATTGAACTCGTTTCCATTAGAGCATAACGGAAAGGCTGGAATCTGAACCTTTCCCGAATTCCTGGGATGGAATGATCCTGGGGAGAATATAAGCAACAGGCAGATGGTAATACCAATATGGTAAAGCCAACAGGTGGTATAATTGGTATCCTGAAGAAAGGCCTCATATGCAATTACCCCTTTACTTTCTGGCATCAGGAGTCCTCTCAGCAGCAAGGTTTTGTGGCTCTGAAGCCTAGATGCACATAGGAATGCCTTGGGAACTCTTCGAAAATGCACAGCCCTGGACCTTATCCCTGAATGACCGAATTTGGTTTTCTGGGAGCTTGGTCCGAGAATATGAATATTTATAAAGTTTCTCGTGATTCTAAAGCAGGTGACCCTTGGTGTCTTGTGTTTTCTGGGAATCCCAGACCTAGGAATCCAGTGGAAGGGTGCAGGAAAAAGTAAGGAGTGGTACAGAGGGCTAGGCCTCCCACCATGGAGGGAGCACATCTTCTCTTCCCTTTCTTCTTCCCTAGCATGAGGAACTAGCCAGGCTGCTTGCTCTGCCACTGGTAACATCTAGTGCTTCTGATCAGACCAGTGTCTTTTTTGTGTGTGGTCCATTGAGTAATAGAACACAGCCTGTGGCTTTTTGCCCTATTCATCTGTGCCAGAAGCAAGCACAAGACTTTGCAAAACTTTTCCCTTAATCTTCCTTTCCATTCTCTCTAGCCTGGGCAGGCTTGGGTTAACAATAGGTTTTCATGTATACAAAGGTATGAAGTAAGGTTCCTCTATATATCTGTTTCTACGTATTTTTAAATATATTTTTAGAGCAGTTTTTGGTTCAAAGTAAAATTGACTGGAAAGTATAGAGAGTTCCCATATAACCTCTGCCCCCACATAGGCATAATCTCCTGCATATCTGCATCCCTCATCAGAGTGGGACATTTGTTACAATCAGTGAACCTGCATTGATACATCTTTCCCACCCAAAGTCCATAGTTTACTTTAAGGTTCACTCTTGGTGATGTACATTCTATGCATTTGGATGAATGTATAATGATATGTATCCATGATAATAATACCGTATAGAATAGTTTCACTGCTCTCAAAATCCTCTGTGCTCTGCCTGCTCATCCCTTCCTCCCCAAACCCTTGGCAATCACTGATCTTTTCATTGTCCCCATAATTTTGCCTTTTCCCGAATGTCATACAATTGGAATCACACTGCTCTAAATCTTCTGCATCCAATAGTGTTAAATAGAATGTATGAAGCAATTAAACGGGCCCTATGAGGAATGAAGGTTGCTAGTACGTAAGAGTTGGTGTATAGGCTTTTCAGATTGGCTTCTTTCATGTAGCAATATGCTTCCAAGTTTCTGCCCTGTCTTTTCATAGCTTGATGGTTCATTTGTTTTTAGTGCTGAGTAATATTCCATCGTCTGTGTGTATTATAGTTTGTTTATCCATTCACCTACTGAAGGCCATCTTGGATGCTTCCAAGTTTGGGCAGTAATAGATAAAACTGCTATAAATATCCATGTCTGGTTTTTGTGTGGGTGTTAAGTTTCCAGTTCCTTTGGGTAAATACCAAAGAGCCCGAGTCCTTGATCATATGGTAAGAGTCTGTTTGTTTTTTTTTTTATTTTTTTATTTTTTTAGATTTTTTTAAAATTTATTTATTTGACAGATGGATCACAAGTAGGCAGAGAGGCAGGCAGAGAGAGAGAGGAGGAAGCAGGCTCCCCACTGAGCAGAGAGCCCGATGTGGGGCTCGATCCCAGGACCCCAGGATCATGACCTGAGCCAAAGGCAGAGGCTTTAACCCACTGAGCCACCCAGGCGCCCCAGAGTCTGTTTATTTTTATAAGAAATTGCCAATATGGCTTCTAAAAGTAGCTGTACCATTCTGCATTCTCACCGGTTAGGTTCGTCTGTATTTCAGAGGAAAATTAATTCTCCTGGAATTTTCTGCAGAGGAACAGGGAAGGCCGTGTAGGATGAAGTAGGAGGGGAACCTAGCCTTAGGGAAATGGCTACAGGGTTAAATAGTGAAAGAAAAGAGAGAAGGAGGAAGAGAGTTTGTTTCTGTTCCTTCTTTGCTTTGTCTTTACTAATAACATTCAGGCCACCCCAACCCCACCCATACGCTAAGCCCTGAACTGAGCTCAAGTGAGAGGTAGGGACTATGACCGATTAGGTCTGCTCTTTAGAAAACCAAGAGAAAAGCAGAGGAATCCCAAGTGTGTTTTGTCAAGAAGTGGATCCGC